TTTTTGTGATCCACACAAAGTCTTTAACACAGTCAATGAGGCAGATGTTCTTCTGGCATTCTCTTGCTTTTTCTATGATCCAACAGATGTTGGCAATTTGATCTCTGGTTCCTCTGCTTTTTCTAAATCCAACTTGTACACCTGGAAGTTCTTGGATTACATACTACTGAAGTCTAGCTTGAAGGATTTTGAGAATTACCTTGCTAGCATGTGAAATGAGCGTAACTGTACAGAAGTTTGAATATTCTTTGGCATTGCTTTTCTTTGGGATTGGAATGAAAACTGGCCTTTTCCAGTCCTGAGACCACTGCTCAGTTTTCCAAATTCACTGACATACTGAGTGCAGCACTTTAATAGCATCAGTTTTTTTAGCATTTTTAAATAGTTCAGCTGGAATTCCATCACCTCCACTAGCTTTGTTCATAGTAATGGTTTCTAAGGCCCATTTGATGTCACACTCCAGGATGTCTGGCTCTAGGTAAGTCACCACACTATCGTGGTTAGGTCCAGGTCACTAAGACCTTTTTTGTATAGTTCTTCTGCGTATTCTTGCCACATCTCAATCTCTTCTGCTTCTGTTAGGTCCTTGCCGTTTCTATCCTTGTGTCCATCTTTGCCTAAATGTTCCCTTGGTATCTCCCAATTTTCTGGAAGAATTCAAAGTGCAAGGGCAAAATGTTCTTTGTTCACCTTTAAGCAAGGTCCCCTTGAAAACCCAGCCTCAAAGAAATTCACCAGCACAAGAAGGCAGGCAACCAAGGCAGAGCTGGAAAGGGGCTGCTGGGACCAGACAGGAGACAGAACTGATGAGCCCTATTTCCCACTGTCAGATGGAGCCTGAATGTGCTTTTGTGTGTGACACTTGCACTGCCAGACTGTGAGATGTAGAAGAAAAGGGCAAATGTAAACTGTGGGTGGGGTTGGGCTAAAAACACCACTTGTTGCCAAGAAAACACCAGAAACAATTCATAAGGTTACGGTATTGATTTCAGGAACTCTTTGAGGATGAATCCTTTTCTCTTCCTGAGATTCTTCAGCCTTCACTGTGTTGAGACTATTCTTTACACACCAGCACCACCAATGCAGAAGAAAATGCTTGCACTCATGTCAATGCCGCTCACTGTAACAGGCAAGGAGGATACAAGCCATGTGGCTTCCAGCCACACACTGCTGTGGTACTGTGACTTCACCTGTTGAATAAAGAAACCTAGAAAGCTTGGCCACCCAAGGAAGAGATGTTACAAGAGTGGCAGCCACAGACACCACTTCTCTTTGAAAAGCTCACTGCTCAAACAGAAGGCTGCAATATGCTAGCATTCAACAGCAGTCCCAGGACATTGATGAAGATCATCAGACCCTACTCAGTATGACCAGAGGAGTAAAATCCTCAGCTGACATGGTCTCTGCACAATTCATTTATAACCCTGGGAGTTGGAAAGGTTTCTTCTATTAACTTTAGGCCAGGATATTCCTAAAGCCAATTTAACCCCAAAATTAGGTTTGACTTTATCACAATATTTTTAGAAAGAAAGACTCCATTTCCTTAGAGATATAAAGCAGAAAAATACAAAGGCTTGACCACAGACAAAGAATGAAGCCCTGAAAAGAAAGTGAAGTCACTCAGTCATGTTTGACTCTTTGCGACCCCATGGACGGTAGCCTTCCAGACTCCTCTGTCCATGGAATTTTCCAGGCAAGAGTACGGGAGTGGGTTGCCATTTCCTTCTCCAGAGGACCTTCCTGACCCAGGGATCAAACCCAGGTCTCTTGCATTGCAGGCAGATGCTTTACCATCTGAGCCACCAGGGAAGCCTTGAAGAGTGACCTATAATATGTAGTAGAGCTAAGTGTTCAATTTGGTCTGAGTAGTGGCTGATTTTGAAATAATTTGTTCTTTTACTACATACTCTATTAAAACTATTTTAAAGTGAATAAAATGTCTGTTAAAACAGCAAAAAGAATAGTGAACACATGCATACACTTTGCTGGAAATTTGTTGGAAATTCAACAGCCTGGAATGGGTTCTTCGGTTACTCAGTAAATCTTTTGTAATAAAGGCCAAGTGTCTGCCTTTTTGGTAGGTTGCTAACCCCAGGAGGAAGTACTTTTGTGACAGGAGAGTTAAAGGTTCACCTGACAAGTCTGGTCTCTGTGGAGGCTTGACAAATCAGAATTCTAATGAGATTCCACACACAGTCCAAAAGAAAAAGAAATGGAGCTATGCATTTCTCCAGACTGGATTCCACTGTGAAAAAGACCATATTTAATACCAAACAAATGTGCTAACCCAGAGGTAGCAGATTCACTTTATAGAAGTCATAAAATTACAAAATTGGGTAAAGGTTTTCCAAGTGTCAAGGCATTTGTCTTAAATGGATTTCAAGCTTTAACACGGATACTTGGTTTTAGCTTAAGAGCAGAATTCTTACTGGAATAAAATCCTCTATTAAACGCATAAAAAAAGACCTGAAATGAAAGCCTTTGAAAGCTGGTACAAAGTTGAAGATCCAAGGCACAATTGTAATATGGAAATGTGTGTAAAACAACTGATGATTTTGTTCCTTTTAGCATTTCACAAGACCCCCAAGTGCAAACATTTTTACCTGAATTCATCAGGAAGATGTCTTCTCTGAGAAACACGCTTTGACTTATGGATATAAATCAAGGCAAAACTTGTTTTCCTTTTTCTAGCCTTGACTTTCAAGAAGTTCAAGAATCAAATTTTATACTCAGTAACAGCAATGTGTTCACCCTTCCTTCCGGTCTCATTGGTTTTGCTTTTCTTCCCTTAATGTTCATATTTTATTACCATTATTGTGTATGTCTTTTTTGGATGTGCTTCCCAAATTCTTTTGGCAAAGAGGACAGGTATACTTCAAATACACACCCGAAAAAAGCAAGCAAATATTGCAAATACTTTTAGGACATAAAAGGGAGTATCTTTGCCCTCATAGCACACCTTAATCAGAAGCAATATTTCAGAATTACCTTAAGTAAGATAACATACACCTACATAACAATAGTGGGCTAAAGGTCATTATTTTAAGAAGTCCCCAGGACTTCAATTTTATCAAGAATAGACATATTTCCTGAATATAATCTTAGTTATCTTCATTTATATAATCTTAGCTACCTTCATTAGCCCAACCCTGGGCTAAGAGATTAGAAATTGTGTGTGCTTTGTTCTTGACCCTAGGTAAGTCATTAACACTTGGTTACCATAGTGTCCTCTTTCCTATTGGGAAAATAGTACCTCCTCGACAGTAGAAGACCCATTATGATTAGGAAGGTGCTCTTAGAAATAAAATTGCAATATAAATGCAACGTGTCACCATCATACACATTAGAGGCCTAAGTGATTCTTTCTCATGAACTTAAAAACTTCTTTACATTCATGGCAAAAATTTATCTTTCTAAATTCATACTTTCTTTGGCAACAACATGACAGAGGCAGGAAAGCTATATAAACAAACAAAGATGCAGGCACCAAATAATGAAAGAGAACATTTCTATACATAAAACATTATTTATACCTGTTTTCATTTTTTACATTAAAATATAAACATCCCCTTATCCAAAATAGCTGGTGAAAAAACAAAACGAAAAACAAATGAAGCCTTTAAAGATAGCTGGTGAGTTTTCAAGTGTCCTTGCTGAATACCAAACATTATGACTCAATAATAAAAAGAACCAAACTGGTAAGAGAGCTATAAAGTATCAATATACAGCAAAATCTTGATAAACCAGAATACTCCAATCTCCTGGTTAATCAACTATTTACAAGAAAACTCTTCTTGCTTTAACCATTAGTTTATAAAAATCTTTCTCAAGTTTTACTTTCTAAAGTAAAGTGAACCAGTTAACTTTCTGGTTTAGTAACTACAAAACACCAAACATCATTTTGATGATTTAGGATCATGTGGTACCTTGGGGTATCTCTCAGAATATTCATAATTTCTTTGCAGTTTTGTTAGGGGCAGAATATTGGAGGGAACTGGAGTTTCTTGTATTAAATAAATCCCCAAAATCGTAAGCTTTCACTGTCTTCTTTTGCCCCATTCTCCTAAAAAGGAGAGTATAGCAAAAAGGTTGTAGTTAAGCAGGATTTCTCATTGTAAGCATACCTATATATACTGGTTCTGGAAACAATGCAGTTTGGTGACTTTACCCCTCTTGACAATTTTTTCTGCATAATTAATATACCCAGTAACATGAATTATATGTAATGAGTCCACTTTTTTCTGGATATCAAATTTCAAACCTTATGAATTCCTTAATTGGAATCTTTCCTCAAGAAAATCACTCATGAAGATGATTTCAAAACCAGAAAGTGATATTGTTAGTCCCTCAGTCCTTATCTGACTCTTTGCAACCCCATGGACTATAACCCACCAGGTTCCTCTGTCCATGGAATTCTCCAGGCAAGAAATATTGGAGTGGGTAGCCATTCCCTTCTCCAGGGGATCTTCCCGACCCAGAGATCAAACCAGGTCTCCTGCACTGCAGGCAGATTCTTTATCATCCGAGCCACCGGGGAAGCCCTCAAAACCACAAGAGTTGTAGATTTTGCTAAAAGAACCAAAATATGCTTCCTCTAATAATTCACAACTGCTTAAACAATCTTTACAAAGTTATCGAAAAGCACCACTTAGATGGTAGGTGCTTAACTCCTTGAAGCCATGAAATTATAAGAGGAATAATAAGAAGTGCTGAGAGAAGAGTTACCTTCTGATTCTTTTAGAACAACTCAGTGTTTCCACAGGGCAGGACCCATAACACTTGGTGGCATGTGAGATGACTTTAGGTGATACACAACACAGAATTAAATAATGCTGAATCACAATGTGAATGTCATTCCCTTTATAATTTTCTTTTAAACTTCTGATAATTTCACAGAGAGAGCCCATTTTGGTGCTAGGTAACATCTCTCACTGCAACAAAGAAAGAGTAGGCTTCTTGGATTCAGAGCCTTGGCAGTCATTAGCATCCAGTTAGAATCTAACATCCTGTTTTATTTTTAATTTATTTTGTAGTTCTCTTTTTTAATGGCAAACTGATGCTGGTTTTTCACTTGGAGTAGAGGTTAGTTTCTTTTTAAAATATTTTAAAATTTAAAAGATAAATATTAAGTAAATAATAGTATATGAAACACTTAAGTGATTGAAGTTTGGCAAATAACGGCTATAGCCTAATGACATATTTTTAAAAAGTAATTTCAAAAGAAGGTATAAATGCGGTCTAGGAAAGAAACATGTGTCACTGTGTTTTCAATACTTATGACACTCCAGGGATGAACTCACCACAGCCTTCTCCTACATCAGGTGATTTCCAGAGTTAAGATTCAAGCAAAAATATAAAAGGAAAAAGAACCCACTCCATACCAATCTGAACTTCATAAACTCATGGTACAACAAATGTGCAAATGATCTAATATTTAGTAAGTCATTTGTTTTACACATAAACTTTCCAATTCATTGCAGCATCTTTTATTTGGTCTATACTAATGCCTTACAAAGGCAAACCGGGGTTGTAGAGTTCCTGCTTGGTTCTCAGAGCAAGTACCACACACACTTTTTGACTGAATTCTCCAGCCATGATTCAGAGCTGCTGGCCAAGTCTTCCAATGGCATCTGACTGTTCTTCCACTGCCATTGCCCTGTAGAGAGGTCTCCTTATCTTCTTCTGAATGATAATCATAGACAACAGTCTGTTGAGAAGAGTTTGCCTACCAGGTATTGCATGCTCACAGGCATGCTAGGCTGACTTAAAAAGGACAGCTGCAGAGAAAGAAAGCGGAGCTTCTCATCTGTGGTCAACAGTTTCTTCATCACAGTGGTGGTGTCCTTCCTTTTCCTCCTTAAGGAAAGGCAATATGTCTGAAGGATGGTGTCAGACATCATAATCAGGAGCTTTGCCCTGGGCTTGCCTTAGCCAGATCTGTAGTGTAACAAATGCTCCCACAGTCACGTGAAAAAAAAGCTGCCAGAGATTGCGCAGTTCATAGAGATACATGTTGCATAGACAAATTAAACCAAAAGTCAAAAAAGATTTGACATTCCGCCAGCTGGTATAGTAGACAAGTAAATAACACTGTTGAAAATATAAAAATGAATGATGGTTAGGGTTACAGGAAGAAGAAACAGATGCTGCAGCTATTAAACTTTAACAGGCCACAGGGTGAAATATGAGAGTGCGGTAAGGGGATTTTTCAACTACAGATAAGACAATGTAACATCTTTAAGACATTCAGTTATGAAAGCTCCACAGCTTAAGAGGGAAGTAGGGGTCTCCTTTTTTGTTTTTCACTTTTCAAAAGAAAAAGCGTTTTGTATCATATATAAAATAGATAACCTTCATGCAAACAAGCTAAACAAATTCCTCAAGATGACAGGCAACTAAGAAGCATTCTTAGGATCTTAAGGGTTCTTATCCCAGAAAAGTTAAAAAAACTCATACAAGTTATTCAGCAAATGGGCTCATATAACCTGAATCTGTATATTAATGAAATCAACAAACATTTATTTGTGTCCCAGGAGTTAACCTAGGTGTAGGGCCTGAGAGAAAACCTGAGGGAGAACTTATTCAATGGAAATTTATTTATCTACTTAGTGTTGTTCTTTACTTTCAAGTTAACAAACACCTCACTCAGATGGAGCTTACATTCTACTGGAAGAAGGCAGATTATAAAGTTTATATATAAGTATATATATATGTGTATTTATATATATAAAATCAAGTAGTTATGTTTTAAAAAAGATTTTTAAAAATGGGACACAGAACGCAATGAGTGCTGATTTAGAAGATAAAGTACTCCCCTGCACCCAAACCCTGGCATTCACCTTTCCTCCTTTATTTTTCTCTACATTACATTTATTAAAACACTTCAAAAATATGCTTATTTTATTTGTCATCTATATTCTTCCAATGAAGTCCAAGCTTCATGAAGGGAGAGGTTTTTAACTGCCTTGTTCACTCACTTTTCTCCATTGCCCCAAACAGTGCCTGCTATGTATATAATAAGTGCACAATAAAAATCTGTTGAATCAATGAACTGTTTTCTAGAAGATATCTAAAATTCCAAGTCTGGGATATATAGGAATTACATATGATCACAAAGCCTTAGGAAAGAGGTGCAGGTCTCTGTGTGAAATTATATCCAGACTTCAGAACAGGAAGAACATTACAGTGTTTGTGACAATACAGAAAGAATGTGATGTTCTGCTTAATATGTTTAGTTCTTATACAAATCAGGACTGTGTTTGCTATCCAAGCAAAATTTAATTGGAAAAATTTATTTTATTGGAGTTTTGAATTTAAAAAGTTGAAAAAAATAGGAGAAATTTTCTTTTGAAATAATTTTAAATGTAAGAAAAGTTGCAAAAGCTTTTCACCCCAACCAAATGTTATCCTCATATAACCACAGTATAATCATCAAAACAGGAAATTAACATTGATTTTAATACTATTAAGTAACCTAAAGACCTCACTTCAGTTTTGCCAGCTGTCCCATAAGACCCTTTTCCTGGTCCAAAATCCAATCCAGGACTCCATATTTCATTTAGTTGTCAGGTCTCCTTGAATCTTTAACAGCTCATGTCTTTCTTTGTTTTCCATGACTTTAACAATTTAAAGAGTACTGATCAGTTATTTTGTAAAATGGCCCTTAATTTTGGTTAGCCTGATATTATCTCAAAATTGAATAGAGGATATCCAATTTTGGAAAGAAGAATACCAAAGAGGTAGTGTGTGATGTGTCAAATTACTTAACTTTGATCTTTTGGTAAGGTGGTATCCAACAGGTTTCTCCACTAGTTACTATTTTTCCCTTTGTAATCAGTATCCTGTGGGAGGATACTTTGAGATTATGTAGATTTCTATCCCATCATACTTTTGCCCACTAATTTTAGCATCTATTGATGATTCCTGCCTACCAAAATGGTTTGCAAAAACGTTTGCCAAATGGTCACTTTCAATTTCCATCATTCTCTACATTTATTAACTGGAAATTCTACTATGAAGAAGAGCTAGATTACCTGGTATTTTTTTTAAATAAATATTTAATATGTGGTTTTCAAAGGCTTTAATGATAATGGTCTGTACCCCACAGATTACTTATTAATTACAAAGAGGGAAAAGATACTTCTGCAATGGAGATATCTGTTAGACATCACTTAATCGAATGATCAAATTTATTACATACCTCTTGACTTATGTAATTAGAGGTATACAGCATACTATACTACATAGTATGGTCGCTGAAATAATTAACCTGAATCTAATCAGAAGAGACACATCTAGATTATGGAGCATTCTATAAGGTATTTGCCTGGACTGTTAAAAAACATCAAGGTTATGAAACACCAAAACAAAACAGAACAACAAAAAGGCCAGGAGATGGCACTGTAGGTTAAAAGATACACAACAACCAAACACAATGCATAATTTGAAATCAGAGGAAAAGAGCTATAGAGAACATTTCGGAGACAACATAATCTGAATACGAATCCTATGTTAGGTAATATTGTATCAATGTTAAATTTCTTGGGTGTGATAAAGGTATCACTGCTATGTACAACAGAAAGACGTCTCTGTTCTCAAAAGACACATGCTGAAGTTTCCAGAGGTGAAATATCTTGATGTTTGTAACTTACTTAAAAAAAAAAAACTGCAGGAACTTCTGCTTCGGGAAGATGGAGTCGATGTACTTTCCTCTATTCTTCCCACTAGGTACAACTAAAAACCCTGGACATTATATATCAAACAAGTATCAGATGACTCTGGATGATAAAGAGAAGAAGGCAGACAGGCTAAGGACCTTAAGTCTCAAGGAATGACACATTGGTAAATTACCTAAGTTTGTTTGCTTATTTTGCCTCATATACCCCAGACTTGGAGCTGAAGAAGCTGACAACTAGAAAACCACTGGATGCACACCAACAAAACAAACAAAACTCAATAAAATTTTGCTTTCTCTAGCCAAAAGACCAAGAGTGACGTGATTTTCCACGACAGAAACTTGTACGTAACTATTCTACCTCAGACAACCACCACCAAAACCAAACCAAAACAAACCAAAAAAGCCAACACACACACAAACACACACACAAAAACTGTGACCACCCACATTCACCCCATCAAAGCCTATGTGGGGAGACTATAATGCTGTAAGGAGATGTTCTAATTCTCTAGAGCTTCAGAGAAGGCAAGTGGTAAGCCAGAACTTTGATTTCCACTGGATGGTAGGAGTCCCTCAACCCCACCCCATGGTGTATCACTGGAGACTAAGAAGGACTGCAGAAATTCACCTCTACTTGGCATTAAAAAGGCAATGGATTTCTCATCAGAAGCTATGAAGTTCAGATAAGAGTGGAACAACATTTTTCAAGTGTTGAAAGAAAATTAGCTGTCAATCCAGAATCCTATATCCAACAAAAATATCCTTTAGGAATGAAGGAAAAATAAAGACATTCTCGGATGACAGAAGATGAACAGAATTCATCACCTACAAATATACTCTAAAGGAATGGCTAAAGGAAGTTCTCTAGACAGAAAGGAAACCAAAAAAAAGGAACCTTGGAACTGGATAGAAAAGGAATATAGCAAAAATACATGTTAATGACTAGCTTTGCCTTTTTAAGAATTTTCTAAATTATGTTTAATGATTGAAATAAAAATTGTAACAGGTCTGATATGTTTCTAAATATATGTAGAGGAAATATTTAAGACAATTATAAATAGAGGAGGACAAAGAGATATAAAGAGTTACAATCCCTATGCTTCACCTGAACTAGTAAAATGATGACACCAGTAAACTGAGATGAGTAAGTAAAATGTAATACCTACAGCAATATTTAAAAAGGCATACAAAGAAATACATTCAAAAACATTACAGATAAAACAAAATGGAGTTCTAAAAAAATGTTCAAGTAATCCACAGGAAGACACAAACAATAAAACAGAAAAATGAAAAAGCTGAAAACAAAAAATAAGATGGCAGACATAAGCCTTAACATGTTAATAGCTACACTGGATATAAATGGCTTAAGTATAGCAATTAAAAGATAGAGATTGGCAGGATGTATTAAAAAGCATAACAAACTCTATGTTATCTACCAGAAACTCACTTCAAATGATACAGGCAAGTTTAAAGTAAAAGGACGGAAAAAGATGTAGCATGCAAACACTAACCAAAGGCAAACATGAGTGGCTATCCTACTATTAGATAAATATAAAAATACTTTGGGACTTTCCTGGTGGTCCAGACTCTGTTTCTACTGCAGGGTGCACAAGTTCCATCCCTGGTCAAGAAACTAAGAACCAGAAAGTAAAGCCAAAAAATAAAAATAAATAAGTAAAAATATTTCAAAGAAAGTAAAAATAACCAGGGACAGAGAGGGATATAATGATAAATGGATCAATCAAGTAAGAAGATCCAGCAATCCTAAATGTGTATGAACTAAACAACAGAGATGTAAAAACTGATAGAACTCAAATAAGAAATACAAAAATGCACAACTATAGTTGAAAATTTCAATATTCCTCTGAGTGTGCATGCATGCTAAGTTGCTTCAGTCATGTCCAGCTCTTTGTGACCCCATGGATCCCATGTAGCCCACCATGCTCCTCTATCCATGGGATTCTCTAGGCAAAGATACTGAAATGGGTTGCCATTTCCTCCTTCAGGGGATCTTGACCCAGGGATCAAATCCGCATCTCTTATGCCTCCTGCATTGGCAGGCAGGTTCTTTACCACTGGTGCCACCTGGGAAGCCCAATGATTGAACTAGCCAGAAAAATCAACTAAGACATATAAAAACTGAACAACACTATCAACCAACAGAATCTAATCAACACTTACAGAACACTCACTTAACAACAACAGAATACACATTCTATTCAAGTGCCCATGGAATATATACCAAGACAAAACATATTCTGGGCCACAGAACAAACCTCAACAAATGTAAAATAACTGAAATCACACAGAATATGTTATCAAACTACAATGGAATCAAACTAGAATAATGGAAAGAAAATGAAAATATCCAAACACTTGAAAACTAAGTAACACAATTCTAAATAATCCATAGGCCAAAGAGGAAACTGCAAGGAAAAAAATTTTAAATACACTGAATTAAATGAAAATACAACATATCAAAATATGGAATGGAACTAAAGGAGTGCTAAGAGGGAAATCTGTAATATTAAATGTACACATTACAAAAGAGAAAATTCTCAAATCAAATAATCTAAGCTCTCACCTCAAGAACCCAGGAAAAGAAGAGTCAAATAAACCCAGAGCAAACACAAGGAAAGAAACAATGGAGGTGGTACAGAAATCAGTAAAATAGAAAATAAGAAAAAAAATAAATAAAGCAAAGAATAGGCTTGGCGAGAAGATCAATGAAATTAATAAGACTGATCAAGAAGAGAGAAGATACAAATGATCAATATGAGGACTGAAATAAGAAATATCATTACATATTCTATAGACATCAAAAGGATAGTAAGAGAATACCACAACCATCCAACACACAAATTTGATAACTTAAGTGAAATGGACAATTTCCTCCTAAAATGCAAACCATCCATTGTAAACAATTATGTGAATAGCTCTATAACTATTAAAAAAAACTGTAAGACTTATTAGGGTTTTCTTGGTGGTCCAGTGGTTAAGAATCCACCTTGCAATGTGGGGACGCTGGTTCAATCCCTGGTCCAGGAAGACCCCACATACTGCAGAGCAACGAAGCCTGTGTGCCATGACTGCGGAGCCTGCGTGATGCAGCTACTGAAGTCTGCACACCTGGAGCCTGTGCTCTGCAACAACAGAAGCCATCACAATGAGAAGCCCGCACACCACAGTGAAGAGTAGCCCGTGCTCACCGTAACGAAAGAAAACCCGTGTGCAGCAACGAAGATGCACCACAGCCAAAAAATAAAAATGATCTTTTTTTTTTAAAAGACTTACTAATAGCTGAAGTAATCAAAACTGTATGGTACTGGCAGAGGAACAGACACATAGATCAACAGAACAGAACAGAGGATCCAGAAACAGATCCACATAAACATGCTAAAGAGATTTTTTCAATGCAAAAGCAATTCAGTAGAGGGGAAATAAAAGGAAAAACTGATACATTAAACTTCATAAAAATTTAAAATACTTAAACTACAAAAGACTCTTAAGAGGATGAAAAGACAAATTAAGACTGGGAGAAGATATTTGCTACATATCTGACAAAGGACTAATATCTAGAATATATAAAGAACTCTCAAACTCAACAGTAAAAGACAAACAATCCCATTAGAAAATAGGCAAAAGACATGAAAAGACATTTCACCCAAGATGATACACAGGTGACAAACATGAAACTATTTTCAACACCATTAGCCCCTAGGAAAATGAAAATTAAAACCACAATGAGATTATCACTACATATCTATCAGAATGGCTAAAATTAAAAAATTCAGGCAACACCAAATGCTGACAAGGGTGCAGAGAAACTAGATCACTCACACAATGCTGAATCTAAAATGGTACACTATTAAACTAGGTCACTCACACAATGCTGAATGTAAAATGGTACACTATTCCGGAAAACAGTTTGTTTCTTAATACTCATGCAATTACCATGACCCAGTCATTGTACTCCTGGGCACTTAGCTCAGAGAAATGAAGACTTTTTTCACACAAAATCCCACCCATGAAAGTTTATAGCACCTTTATTTATAATAGCCAAAAACTAGAAACAATTCAGATGTCCTTTAAATGAGTGAAAGATCAAACAAACTGTGGTACAGCCATACCATGGAATACGATTCAGCAATAAAAAGGAACAAACCATTGACACATGCATGGATAAACCTTCAGAGAATTACGCTGAATAAAAAATGCCAACAACAAAAGGTTATATACACTATATGGTTCCATTCATATAACACATTCAAAATGAGAAAATTATATGAGAATACAGTAGTGGTTGCCAGAGATTAAAGAGGGGTTGGGGTTGGGGCAGAAGGGAACTATAAAAGGCAACATGAGGAGTCTTTATGGTAAAGACTGTTATATACTTGATGGCATCAATATGCATTGTGATGTTGTATTACAGCTTTCTAAGGTGGTTACATTGGGGGGAAACAGATAAATGTTATACAAGCATGCTTTATGACTCCAGGTGAGTCTCTTAAAATAAAAAGTCTAATAAGAAAAACAACTTTACACATTCATTTTATCTGCAATTTACATTATAAACAATGAGTATATACCCCATATACATAAACGCACAAAAAAGAATGAGATAAAGCAAATGTTGTGAAATGTTAACAACTGGTGATTCTAGGTGTACCAGTTTCCCAACTTTTCTGTAAGTCTAAAGGTTTTCAAAATAAAACACAGAGGGAAAAGTACAGTATCTAGTTTCTTCAGACTTCCTCTGATTTCCTATTTTATGTTTCTGGTCATGCAATGCAGCTTGCAGCATGTTAGTGCCCAGATCAGGAATTGAGTCCATGCCCCCTGCTGTGGAAGCATGGAGTTCTAACCACTGAACTGCCAGGGAATTCCCAGATTTCCTATTGTAAATGTTCCATATCAAGATGATCTCTATCTGACTGAACCCTGTGATTCTGTAAGTATCCAGAGCCTGGAGGAAAAGGCAACAAACAATGTAGTAGTGGCCTTTGAGGTCTGATCTAAAGGAGATTAAAAAATATCCTGAAATTGGGGATACATCACATGGTAAAACCTAAACACTTAATTTTTCCTATGGGGAAAAACAACATTATTATCACTCTGCTAATCATATTTGGGAAGCATTCAGTTTCAAGCCTGTCAATATGAAGGACATTTTTTTAAAATTTTCTTTTTTAAAGTATGTATCTGTTTACTTCTCAAGTTAAAAGAAGACCTGGGTGACATTGCTCTACCATGAGACTACTCTTAAAACTATCAATACTTTCATCTGTTCTGAGAAAGTTAACAGAGGTATGCCTATCCTTGGCAAGAGCACTGGTTCTAAGATCACCTAGATTCAAGTCACTGACTGACTATAAGAACTGTCTAGGCTGCAGTAAAAAATGGTGATAATAATAGGATTAGTGCTGGACTTTCTTTGAGGATCAAGTGGCATAAGGAATGTAAAGGGCTTACCACAAAGGAAGAACTCAACACATTTTTGCATTATTATTAGCATTTAAAATTATTTCATTAAGGTAAAATAGCTAAAAGTATATTTTGTAAGGATAATCATTCATGAAACTATTTTAAAGTCAATATTTACCTCACATTGTTTTAGAATATGAAATAGTGCATATAAGTTATTAAGTTATAAACTCATAGCATTATAAAAGTCATGCAAATATAGGAATTTTGCTTAGAGATAGCATGATATAGTGGAATGAATATGACATTTAAAATCTGAAGACCCAGTTCAGTTCTGACTCTACCACTTGCTGGCTATGTGATCTCAGGATAGTATTGAAACTGCTTCAGATTTCTCTGTTTCAAAAAAGTGAGGATAATATACCCTCTGTGATAGACTGTAGAGATTAAATGACAAAATCTGCACAAGAATATTTCATAAAATTAAAGTACTTGTGACACCAATGAAGACAAGCTTTCATATCTCCTGCACGAAATGTCATTCATTATAACTCAATCTGTCAAATTTGACAGAAAAACAATTTCTAAAGCTAATATAAATGATTAAGAAAAATTAGGGGATTTAAAAAAAATGGGGCCACTGAAACTAAAATTTCTAATATGTCTTTAAATAAAAGTCAAACGTGTATATTTAATATATTTCTCTAAGATTTCTTCTGAGTTTTAGGTACCCTTTTTTTGCAGTACTGAATCTAACATTTTTCTATGCAAGACAGATAAATGTGTCACCTGTAAGTGTTAAGTCAAAAGGCCTTGCTTGCTTTAACGTGTTTCAGCAAAGACACTTGAATCTGGGTAATCAGCATGGTTAACTCTCCCTTCTCTAACACATCTGTGCCTCCTCTGGTCTTGAAAATGGGAGTATGTATCTCCCTATCATTCAGGTACAAAACCTCCTCTCTCCTGAAGTCTCAGATCTACTCGGTCTTCGAATCTCAGGGAGTATTCCTTCTCAGCGTCCTTTCTTTTCCTATTCCTACTGCCATTACCTGGAGAAGGGGTAGGCTACCGACTCCAGTATTCTGGCCTGGAGAATTCCATGAACTGTATAGTCCATGCAGTTGCAAAGAGTCGGACACAACTGAGCGACTTTCCCTTTCACTGCCATTACCATAATTTAGGCTTTCATTACCTTCTGCCTCAAAACTAATACCCTTGCTTGTAGTCTCTTTGCTCTGACAATCTACACTATTCACTGCTAAATTAAATATCCTAAAACCCTGCTTTTGCTGTTCCCTCTTCACAGACCTTCTCAAAAGCACAAAATCCTCAACCTGGAGTAAAAGCAGAGATTGCAAGTTGAATAATAAGTCACCAGAATATCTAGACATAGCCTTTACTGCCACAGGCTGATGACCTGCTGCCAATAAAGCCCCAGAACAGGAAGAGGGCTAACACTGAATTCACTGGGATCTATGTCCATTCAAAAGGGTCACAAAGCTAACAGAGGCTCAAATTGAAAAACGAGGCAAAGAACTTAGACATTATTTTATTTAAAGTGCCCAAAAAGTTAATTAGAAATGACACCTGAAATGAGCAATAATAGGAAGGTATTTCTTACAAATGAGAGAGTACATACCTGGTAAAGGCAGGCTGCTGTTCCAAGAAAAAACGCAACGATGTAATTAAAGTCCTCACCATCACTCTGCAAAAATAAAATAAAAAGTTACTCTTTCTGTGGAAGCCCATTTCCAAAAACAATCCATTGGGATAGGATATGACGTTTATGCACAAATGGTCAAAATTTTCAAAAGTGGCATATAAAAATACTCAAGTTCTAAAAGAGAAACATAAAACACATCATAAGAACCTGGGACTGTGAGGTAGAGGAAGACTACCAGTGTTCCTCTAGGTCTGGGCTTCCCCATCAATTATATCTTACCCAAGAGAAGATGAAAGCCAACGGAAACAAGTTTCCGTGTAACATTAAACATGTCTCTACTTTCCACTAAAGAAACCATATGAAAATATACAACACCCCAGCAGCCTATAAAGTTAGGCCTGCTTGTTAGGATTACTACTTGACTCAAATAAATACTGACAGTTTACATCTAGAATTAGCACATCACTGAACTGTCCAATGAAGTCATTTGACATGATTAAAATTTTTTTAAAAACACAACCAAAATTGAAAAGCTACTGTCCACTAGAGTGTGCTAAATCCCAATGAGGAAATTCAGTCACATGTATTATGTTAAAACCACTCAGAGGAAAAACAGAGATAGATTATGCATAAAAGTATTTCTTTTAGAAGAAAACTAATGGAGACATGTAAAAACCCATTTTTTTCTACTCCTTTTTGGTTCCTTTTAAATATTTGTATTTCTCATGCCTTTTGATGGAGTAGAACATAAAGCCCAAGCAGGAGAATCAAATTTCTTTTCTTCTAGATAGAAACATTAAATTTGGCCCTAATTTCAGGGAAAAGAAAAATCTCCCTATACAATAAAAATTTTCAGAAGACATGGGAGTGTCTCTTATGACCATGAGTGCTTGAAATAACATAAAGTGAACATTCCTTTTCCATTGCTATTGGGCAACAGAAGTGCCTGTAAGGCAGAGAGAAAATGGCTTATCCTAGTGAGAGGATCTTAAAATAGAAACCATTAATCTGTCTGGGATGGTTAGACCAGTTCTATCCCAGAGACAAGGAAGGTCAAGAAAAAGCCCTTCTACTTTAATAATTCTAAGACTTTTAAATAAGTTCTGCTTGATTGTTTTTTCTTCTGTCCTTTCAATGATCTTTTTTGATTATAAAAGTTCATGTTCATTGTAGAGAATCTGAAGCAAAATGTTACAAAGAAGAAACTCATATAGTACATAATATCACAATTTTGGGAGAATTCTGCTAACCATTTGTGTACTTCCTTCTGTACAAAAATATATGTACATTGAAAAAAATGGAATCATACTTTTATGTACTACTTTTTAATACTTCACACTATGTCATGAAACATGTTCTCAAGATACTAAATATTTCTCAACCACTTAATTTGTAATAATTACATAACCTTTAACTGTGGGGCTATACAATAATTTCATTGTCTTAAAATCAAATATTATATTTTCCCTAAATTAACACTATCACTTTATAACTCTCTTAACTGCCTTTGGAACACTTAACAGCATGTTTCTGGAGTAGATAAGAACTGGGTTCAAATCTTTACTTATTAGCTAGCTGTATGACCATGGACTATTATTAATATTTAACTTCAATTCCCTTTTTTGAAAATAAATGTTATAGAGATTCAATGAAATATCAATTATATTGGCAAACACAAAGAACAGTAACTGACACAGTAAGTATTCAAAAACATTCACTAACTTCTCCTTCCCAGAGGTTACTATGTGCATCATTGATCAGATAATTAGGATTACATTTTGATATTGTTTAAATCTCTAATGTACTAGCCTTGTCTTCTCAGTGAGATCCTAACCTTCCTTCAAGGCAGAAAATAAATCTTACTACTTGCAAGAAACTGTGCACAAAGCAGGAATTCAACAAATGAATGCCAAATTGAGTTGTGCTTTGGAAAATCTTTATTTCCACTTACTAAAGAGAATATCTATAAACATATTCTTCCATTCAAAAAATAGTCATTCATTAAACACTGATGGCCCAAGTACTGTGTTATGCAACCAAGGACAGAAAACAAGTCAACACAAAATGAGGAAGCTCAACTCTAATCAGGAAGGCAGAGACCGGTAGAAAGTAACAATTTGCATCCAAAGTGGTAACTGATGGGATAGGTGTATGTACAGGGTACTAAGGGAGCCTACTGGAGATGCATTTAATTCTGGAGAAAAAAAGGATCAGGGAAGGTTTGTCACAGAAAGTAAAGCTTAATTTGCATCTTGAAGGATAAACCAGTAGACAAGGTAGGACAAGAATTCCAGGCAAACAGAGTAGCTTATGCAGTTTTAAGAGGAGGATAGGATGACTCCAAGGTCTCCTATTTAGGCAACATTTGAATGATACTAAGTTGGGCTTTCCTGGTGGTTCAGATGCTGCAATGTGGGAGACCTGGGTTTGATTCCTAGGTTGGGAAGATCCCCTGGAGGAGGGCATAGCAACCCACTCCAGTATTCTTGCCTGGAGAATCCCCATGGACAGAGGAGCCTGGCGGGCTACAGTCCATGGAATCACAAAGAGTCGGACACGACTGAGAGACTAAGCATACACAAACACTAAGTTGGGAATATAGGAGGAAAAAATGGGCTTGAGAGAAGAAAAAATGAGTTCATTTTGGACAAGGTATTTTGGAGTTGCTAGTGAGATATCCAAATAAATAAGTTTAGTAGACATTTAAGTCAGCTTCAGGGAAGAGTTTAACCTAGAGGTCTAGTTTAGTAGTCATATATTTAAATAGTAGTTAAATGAAATAAAGGAGTATGACAACGAAATGCAAAATATATTTCTTGACTGGCTGATAGACTGGAGAGAGGAAAAAATATAAATATAAAGGATATTTGGGGTCAAATATGAATTGTGAAATCTGAAAATAGATTTTATTATTAGCTAATACTACATTGGTCTTCAGTTTCTTTGGTTTAATAAAGGTATTGTGATTATGCAGGAGAAAATTCTAGTCCTAAAGACAGACATATTGAATAATTTTGGAATAAATCTGTCATAATACTGACAATTTTACTTTCCAATGATTCAGAAAAAAAAAAAGAAAATAAAGAGAGAAAGTAAGAAAGAACGGTAGGTATGTAACAGCTCAGTTCAGTCACTCAGTTGTGTCCGAATCTTTGTAATCCCATCGACTGCAGCATGCCAGGCTTCCCTGTCCATCAACAACTTCCGGAGCTTACTCAAACTCATGTCCATTGAGTTGGTGATGCCATCCTACCATCTCATCCTCTGTCGTCCCCTTCTCCTCCTGCCTTCAGTGTTTCCCAGCATCAGGGTCTTTTCAAATGAGTCAGTTCTTTGCATCAGGTAGCCAAAGTATTGGAATTTCAGCTTCAGTCCTTGCAATGAATATTCAGGATTTATTTCCTTTAGGATGGACTGGTTAGATCTCCTTGCTGTCCAAGGGAGTATCAAGAGTCTTCAACACCACAGTTTAAAAGCATCAATTCTTTGTCGTTCAGCTTTCTATATAGTCCAACTCTCACATCCATACATGACTACTGGGAAAACCATAACTTTGACTAGACAGATCTTTGTTGGCAAAGTAATGTCTCTGCTTTTTAATATGCTTTTAATTATGGTCATAGCTTTTCTTCCAAGGAGCAAGCGTCTTTTTAATTTCATAGCTTTTATTCCAAGGAGCAAGCATCTTTTAACTTCATGACTGCAGTCACCATCTGCAATGAGCCCCCCCAAAAAATTTTTGGAGCCCCAAGAAATAGTCTCTCATTGCTTCCATTGTTTCCCCACCAATTTGCCATGAAGTGATGGGACCAGATGCCATGATTTTAGTTTTCTGAATGCTGAGCTTTAAGCCAACTTTTTCACTCTCTTCTTCCACTTTCATCAAGAGGCTCTTTAGTCCTCCTTTGCTTTCTGCCATAAGAATGGTGTCATCTGCATATCTGAGGTTATTGATATTTCTCCCAGCAATCTTGATTCCAGCTTGTGCTTCTTCCAGCCCAGCGTTTCTCATGATGTACTCTGCATATAAGTTAAATAAGCAGGGTGACAATATACAGCCTTGACGTACTCCTTTTCCTATTTGGAACCAGTCTGTTGTTCCATGTCCAGTTCTAACTGTTGCTTCCTGACCTGCATACAGGTTTCTCAAGAGGCAGGTCAGGTGGTCTGGTATTCCCATCTCTTTCAGAATTTTCCACAGTTTATTGTGATCCACACAGTCAAAGGCTTTGGCATAGTCAATAAAGCAGAAATAGATGTTTTTCTGGAACTCTCTTGCTTTTTCGATGATCCAGTGGATGTTGGCAATTTGATCTCTGGTTCCTCTGCCTTTTCTAAAACCAGCTTGAACATCTGGAAGTTCACAGTTCACGTACTGTTGAAGCCTGGCTTGGAGGATTTTGAGCATTACTTTGCTGGTGTGTGAGATGAGGGCAATTGTGCGGTAGCTTGAACATTCTTTGGCATTGCCTTTCTTTGGGATTGGAATGAAAACTGACCTTTTCCAGTCCTGGGGCCACTGCTGAGTTTTCCAAATTTGCTGGCATACTGAGTGCAGCACTTTCACAGCATCATCTTTTAGGATTTGAAATAGCACAGCTGGAATTCCATCATCTCCACTAGCTTTGTTTGTAGTGATGCTTCCTAAGACCCACTTGACTTTGCACTCCAGGATGTCTGGCTCTAGGTGAGTGATCGCACCATCATGGTTATCTGGGTCATGAAGATCTTTTTTTTTTTTTTAATAATATGTCAATTTATTTAAAAATGGAGCATACTGAACAACAAACTATCTTACATCTTTAAGGAAGAAAAAACACTAAATTTGAAAAGACATCACCCACTGATTTGGACACAACACCTCTACTCAATTAAGAGAAACATTTGTACAGTTCAAGTCTTTATTTTTACACCCTTCAGGCCATGAATTCATAGGGAATGGGTTCCAACAGTTCAGGTTCCTTTCCATTGGTCCTCACAAAGTGTGCTTCTCTGGGTGGAGCAGGCTGGCACTTCAGCTGAACCCAAGTCCCTTTATCTTT